GGTGAGTCCCTAGAGGTGTGTGTGTGTGTGTGTGTGTGTGTGTGTGTGTGTGTGTGTGTGTGTGTGTGTGTGTGTGTGTGTGTGTGTGTGTGTGTGTGTGTGTGTGTGTCTCGTCTCGGAGGCTGCCTGGCTGACGCCACGCTTCAGATCACCCCAGATCTCCCCAGATCTCCCCGGATCTCCCCAGATCTCCCCAGAGTTCTGCCTGGCTGATGCCCCGCTTCATGGTCTCGAGAATCGTCGCCCGCACCCGCTCGCTCGCAGACCCGTCCGCCGCCGCCCTCGCCGCCCCGGGCGCCGCCCCCGCCACTGACCTCGGCGTGGCCGGCGCGGAGAAGCCGGAGGGCGCGGGGGCGGGCGGGGGCGGGGAGGCGGCCGACGGTGCGGGTGCGGGTGCGGGGGCGGCAGCGGGGGCGGGGGCGGGGGCGGCAGCGGGGTTGTTGCGAGCTTCGCGGGCGAGCTCGTACAGCGGCTTGGCGGCGGCGGACTTTGCGGCGGCTGGTCTGGCGGCGGCTGGTCTGGCGGCGGCTGGTCTGGCGGCGGCGGGGCTGACGGCGGCGGCCTTGAACCCCCCGCCTGCGGCGGAGGAGGCGGAGGCGGGAGCGGAGGCGGCGGAGGCGGCGGAGGCGGCGGAGGCGGCGGAGGCGGCGGAGGCGGCGGAGGCGGCGGAGGCGGGAGCGGAGGCGGCGGAAGAGGGGCCAAGAGCGGTGGCTGTCGACGCGGCGGCGGGTGTGGCGGCGGCGGCGCGCACAAGCGGAGGGCGAGGCGCCGCGTCTCTCCGGTCGGCGCCTCGCCGCCCGCCGCTGCCGCGGGACCGCTCCACTGCCTGTAGGGCGCGCTTGCGCAGCAGCTCGCTGCCCTTGGGCTTGAAGGCGGTGAGGAGGAAGAGGGAGCGGGCCTGTGGCCCCAGTCTCGCGGCGTGAGGGTGTGGGCACGAGGCGTGCGTGTCTAGGAAGTGTCTAGAAAGTGTCTAGGAAGTGTCTAGAAAGTGTCTAGGAAGTGTCTAGGAAGTGTCTAGGAAGTGGGCACGTGGGCACGTGGCGTGCGTACTGGGAGCATCGCGTCAAGACACACCGCTGCGGCGAGCCTGCCACGAGCGAACACACCGGAGCCTCTGCGCGTCGTCTCGAGGTCTCGAGGCCTCTCGACGCGCTAGTCGGGCTATTCCGCTGTCTGCCATAGCCGCAGCCGCAAGTGTCTAGGACGTGTCTAGGACGTGTCTAGGACGTGTCCGCGCCTCGACATGCAGCTCCTCGAGCCGGAGCGAGCCCCACCCGGCTGAGTAGTGGAAGAAGGAGCCAGACATGTAGAGCGCCTCGGCGGCGTCCGGCAGCTGCAGCCACGCCTGCGTCGCACAAGCCACGTGGGGCAAGCGACGCGAGGCAAGCGACGCGGCGCAAGACTGGCAGCAGGAGCTTCAGCGGGGTGCGGTCCCGGTGTGCAAGTCGGATGTGCCACTACGGGTGTGCCACTACGGGTCTGCACACACAGATGTGCCACTACGGATGTGCCACTACGGATGTGCCACTACGGTTGTGCCACTACGGGTGTGCACATACGGATGTGCCACTACGGATGTGCCACTACGGTTGTGCCACTACGGGTGTGCCAATATACGGATGTGCACACACGGGTGTGCACAGGATGCGCAAGCCCGGGTCAGACCTGCGTCGCGTGTCTTCGGTCAAAGTCGCTGGCTCGGTCGACGGGCGGGTCTCCGGCAAAGGAGAGCAGCGCCACGCCTAACGGACGGGAAGTGCGCGGCCGCGTGCAATTCTTCTTTCGGGCCGCCGGCGGAGAGGAGAGCGGCGGTGCACCCGACGGCTTGAGTGTCTAGGAAGCGTCTAGGAAGGGTCTAGGAGGTGTCTAGGAAGCGGCACCCGACGGCTTGAGCACGCGAAGTGTCTAGGAAGCGTCTAGGAAGCGTCTAGGAAGCGTCTAGGAAGCGGCACCCGACGGCTTGAGCACTCGAAACAGCTCCGCGAGGAGGGCGACTGGGTGGGAGACGTAGGGGAGGCAGCCGTGGCAGAGGACGGCGTCGAAGGAGGCGTCCGCGTACGGCAGCGGATCCGCCCCGGAAAAGAGCGCGTGCTGCGGCGCGTCGCCACCACGGCCACCGCCGCCTCGGCCGCCCCGGCCGGCCTCATACGAGCCGGCAAAGGCGTGGAGCCACGAGCGCTTCAGGCGGGGGCGGCCGATCGGCGGCGCGGGCAGCCGCGTCCCCTCGCCGTCGCCCGTCACCTCCAGCACAGCGCTCGCCCCCGCCTCGGCGAGCCGAGCGGCGTAGCAACGGCTGAGGACGCTCACCTCGGCAGCCGGCGGCGGCGCGAGCACCCACGGCGTCTGCCGCTGGGCAAAGGCGGCGTCGGTGGCCTCGTCGTACGGACACGTGGCGGGGAACGGCTTTGCCCGCAGCAGCGTCTCGACGATGGGCAGGATCCGGCTTGGGCCTCGCTCTCCCGCCGCGACGTCGAGCTCCATCGCTCGCGGCTGCGCCTCGGCGCGAGAGGCGGGCGTCTGGGGACGAAGGGGCGGGCACCACGCCTGATGGCTCAGCAGGAGCACCCAGGCGCCGCTCATGCGAAGCGAGCCTGCCGCGCTTGGGGCGCGGCAAACGGTGAGCGCGCGCCGCACGCTAGTCAGAAAAAGAATTTCCCTCCCCCATCCCAAACAACTGAGTGAGTGAGCCCAAACAACTGTCACTCCCCTTTCTCCCGGCCGGGGTGGGGCGCGCGCGGGGGCGGCGGGTGTGCGGCGAGTGTGCGGGATGTCTGTGGGCCCGAGAGCGATATGCCATGTCCGCCTTGCGTTGTTTCATAACCGAAGAGAGAGATTTTTAGCAATACCAAACAAATCTAACCGAAGGCTAAGCTCAAAAGAATTCTACCATACACCAAATTAATTCCTGTGTGTAGAAAAAAGAACTATCACAGGCACTGGCGCGCACTGGCACTAACACAGTTCCTGAGAAAAGAATTTTACAACAAAACTCCCTCGCACGACACTGGGCACGCACGGGACTGGCGCGCACTGGCACTACACACAGGTACACACGGGAGCCAAAACCTCTTCACGCAACACAAGCATCGTATGGGAGCAAGTGCACAATCATGCCTCGACTAACCATTACACAACCAAGCCCGTTCTCGATCCGCCGGGTCTGTCCGAACTCTGAGAGGCACATTAGGACGAGTTCCGTCTCCCGGTATCGTGTCGTCGTCGGTGTGCCGCGCACGGCCAGCCAGCACAGGACAGCCGCCCGCTGGACTGCTCCCTGAATTGCGAGAGACTCACACCAGCCAAGAGGTCCTCACGCCAAGAGGTCCTCACGCCAAGAGGTCCTCACAAGAGTTAGAGAGGTCCTCACGCCTCCCAAGAGGTCCTCACGGCGCAGTGGATTTTACCGTCGCAGCAAGAGGCCCCTACGCGGCCCGCCGCGCGCGTCAACGGCCGGCACGCCCTTCCGTCGACCCTTCCCCCCTCAGTCCCGCGGCAGCGAGGCAGCACTTCGTTCGAATTAGCCATAGCCCAGCTCAAACACAAACCTCTGCGGTAGAGTAGAACGTAAGATAGAGGATAAGTGGTGGTGAATGTGCGTGAATATGAATGTGCGGGTCTTCTTGGCCCTGCGATAGACTCGCTATGCACTAGCTGGTGCGCTTCTTCGTGAACTCCTATTAGTGACGCTTCACATGTCGAAGGGGATTTTCGTGCAAAGGGAGCCCCCTGGGTGCAAAGATGAGCACCAACGCACCCGGGTACTCTTTAGCTGTACTCGTCTAGGCGCAGGGGTTGGATACAAATCATGACTCAGCCATTCCTCCAACATGCACACCAACACAATCATCACCGATCATTACTCGAGTAGACCATAAGCTGACCGTGCGTCCGTGCCCAATCGCGATCGCTTCCCGCCGGGTCGGTCCTGTCTGACCGAGAGGCACGTTCAGGCGAGACTCCGTCTCCCGGTATCCTGTCGTGTGCCGCGCACGACCAGCCTGGACAGCCGCCCACTGAATCACGAGAAACTCACACCACCAAGAGGTCCTCACGGTCGCCAAGAGGTCCTCCAAGAGAGGTCCTCACGAGGACCCAGACTGAGGCTCGCGACGCGGACAGAGACCGCCCTGGCCTTTTCACTCGATGTTATTCGTCGCCACCCCTCCCACTCCACAATCCGTCAGAGAGTCGCATGCAAGAGCAACTCTAGACTCAACAGAAGACGATGTTCTCTGAGGTCCTCACCTGGACCCAGCCTTGGAGTGAGGACCTCTTCTGTGTGAGGACCTCTACCCCACCTAGACTCGCTATGCTGGTGAGCTTCTGCTTGATAACTCCTGTTAGTGCCGCGTCTCTGACACTTACACTGTCAGTCCGGCATGCACTGCACACCGGCGCGCGGATTGCGCAAATTAGCCAGAGGAAGTTCGGATCCAATCCGATGAGTGAGAGGTAACTTATATTGGAATGTGCGGATGTTTACATTACTTTCCACCAAAAATAGTGCGAGCCGAACGCCGCGCTGGAACCTCTCACTGTTCTTCACCTTCGACACAGCCGTCCCACTCTCGTTCTCCTGTCGCTTCATCCTTTTGCGGCAAAATTCTTTCTGCGCATTTCGGCACCGTTCATCAATTTGGATCGCCGATTTTGCTGCCATTTTTACGCCGCCGACAGCATGTCGGGCGACTGCCTTCCGTACCCGGCTGCATTCAAGCGTCACAGGTCGGTGACCATTCTAAAATCCATGTGTGGACAAGGAGATGAAGAAACCCTGGAAAACCAGCGCCAGCTAACGCGGGGGTTGTATTGTTTCGTGAGTGAGTATTCTTGATACGAAACCACGACGGCAAACGGAGAGAGAGATTTTTATTAACCAACAAGAAATCACTCTTGCAAACGGTGAGCGCGCGGCACGCTTTATCAATCAGAAAGGAAGGTTTCCGGCGTTTCTTCATCTCCTTGTCCAAGGGATTTTTGAATGCTTTGAAAAATGTTGGAAAAATTAAAACGAACCTTAGATGAAAATTCTTTTTCTCGCGATGTCCACCCCGCCGCGCCGCCGCTCGCGCCGCCTCGCCGCCGCCACCACCGCCGCTCCCTCGCCGGACACGTCGCCGCCCGCCCGCCTGCTCGACCTCCCCACGGAGCTCCTCGTACGCGCCCTCTCTCGCTGCGACCCCGTCGACATCGCTCGCGTCGCGGCCGTCTCGCTGCTCTTCCACGCCTCGCTTGCGCTGGAGGCCATCCGCTTGTGGGCGCAAGAGCGCGGCATCGAGCTGCCGGCGCTGCCGGAGGGCGAGCTCTGCGCAGTGCGGTGGCTGTGCTATTCGGCGTTGCTGCGCGCGTCCAACCCGCCGGCGAGGGCGGCGGCAGGCGCCTTCCACAGCGTCTTCATCGACGGCGAGGGGCGGCTATCGTCGTGCGGAAGGGCTGAGAACTGGATGCCAGGGCTGCTCGGGCACGGCGAGGGCATGATGCGGCTCAACGCGCCGACGCGTCTGCCGTCGTCGATGGGTCAGCGCGCCGTGAGCGTGGTGGCTGGAGATGCGCACAGTCTGACCCTCACCGCCGACGGAGCTGTCTGGAGCTGGGGCTATGGAGGCGGGGGACTCTTGGGCCACGGCGACGAGGAGGAGCAGTGGCAGCCCAAGAAAGTTGAGGCCTCTGCTGGGCAGAAAATTGTCGCTGTGTCGGCTGGAGGCAGCCACAGCCTCGCCCTCTCCGCCGACGGCGCTGTCTGCAGCTGGGGCTATGGAGCCTTTGGCAAGCTGGGCCACGGCGACCAGCAGAGCCAGCTGCTGCCGAAGAGGGTCGAGGCCTTTGCGGGGCAGCGCGCCATCGCAGTCTCGGCTGGAGAGCGCCACAGCCTCGCCCTCACCGCCGACGGCGCCGTCTGGAGCTGGGGCGATGGTTTGCGAGGCAAGCTGGGCCACGGCGACCAGCAGGACCAGCAGGACCAGCCCAAGAAGGTCGAGGCCTTGGCGGGCCAGCGTGTCGTCGCTGTGTCGGCGGGAAAGAACCACAGCTTAGCCCTCACCGCCGACGGATCTCCATGGAGCTGGGGCGTTGGACTCTTTGGCCAGTTGGGCCACGGCGACGGGCAGGACCAGCTGCTGCCGAAGAAGATCGAGGCCTTTACTGGCCAGCGTGTCGTCGCTGTTTCGGCTGGAGCAATCCACAGCCTCGCCACCACCAGCGACGGCTGTGTCTGGAGCTGGGGCGGGGGAAGCGAGGGCCGGTTGGGCCACGGCGACCAGCAGCGCCAGCTGCTGCCGAGGAAGGTCGAGGCCTTGGCTGGCCAGCGCGTCGTCGCTGTTTCGGCAGGAGATCGACACAGCCTCGCCAACACCGTCAGCGGCGACGTCTTTACCTGGGGCGAGGGGGATCGCGGCTGCCTTGGCCACGGAGATGACCTGTCGAACCAGCTGCTGCCCAAGAAGGTCGAGGCGTCGTGCGGGAATAAGTGACGCATCGAGTTTCCGCGCAGAGTGGAGGGATCGTGTGCTGTGCGAGGTTGCGCGTAAATCCGTTAGTTTTTTCTTTTTGCTGCGCGGGGACTATTCCGGGTTGGAGCCGCCAACCCAGCGCGCTCGCGCTCAATGCTATCGCGCTGGTGCCGACGGCGCGTGCCGAGAGCCACTGCCCGTCGGCTCGGCACGCTGCCCTTTCGGATCCGTGCGCCGCTCGCGCGCCTCATAGAGCGCAAGGCACCCGCTGCCGAGGCCTTTCGCGCGCCGGCGCTCGGTGATGGCGAGGCGCTGACCTCGGCGACGGCGGCGCCCGACTACCTGGCACTCGCGCTCCGCTCGCGCGTGTACGACCACCTTGGCGAGACACCGCTCCAGCACGCGCCTGCTCTGAGCGAGGCTCTCGGCGCCTCCGTCCACATCAAGCGCGAGGACGTGCTTCCGGGCTTCACCTTCTATGCGCGATGCGCCGTCAACGAGCTGGCCACGCTCCGCGCCTCCTCCGGGGCGGCGCCTCCGCGGCTCGTGACGGCGTCGATCGGCTCGCGCGGCCACGCCCTCGCATGGGCGGCAGATCGGCTCGGTAGACCCTTCCGAGACCCTTCCGAGACCCTTCCTTCCGAGACCCTTCCTTCCGAGACCCTTCCGAGACCCTTCCGAGACCCGTCCGAGACCCGTCCGAGACCCGTCCGAGACCCGTCCGAGACCCGTCCGAGGCCCTTCCTGCCCTCGCCGCCGTCTCCACTCGCCTGCGAACGCCACCTCTGCCTCCACCCTGCCCGCACCGCTGCCGCCGTCCCCACTCCCGCGGACATAGACCTCCGCACACGCCCACGACGCGTCCGCAGGCCTCGACCTCACCGTGGGGGTGCCTTCTGTTCACACCTTCTATTCACGCCTTCCGCAGGCCTCGACCTCACCGTGGTGATGCCTTCGCCGACGCCGTCGTCGCGCCGCGACGCTGTCTCGCGGCTCGGCGCCTCGGTACTCATCTCCAACGGCGAGACGCTCGTCGCTTACTTTTCCCTCAGCGATTTCTTTTCTCTCTCTAGGTGCTCACTCACGGCGAGACGCTCCGGCCCTATATTTCTTTTTCCAGGGCGATTTCTTTGTTCTAGGTGCTCATTCACGGCGAGACGCTCGTCGACTCGCAGGGCGAGGCGGCAAGGCTGGCCGCCGAGGAGGGGCTCGTTGCGGTCGGCTCACACGACGCGCCGCCGGTGCTCGCCGCCACCGGCGCGGTCGGGCTCGAGCTGCTGCGGCGGCACGAACTAAGTAATCAACCGCTGAGTCAGTACTGAATTAGGCACCGTCGGGCTCGAGCTGCTGCGGCAGCACGAATTAAGCATTCAACCGCTGAGTCATTACTGAATTAGGCACCGTCGGGCTCGAGCTGCTGCGGCAGCACGGCGCCGCGGCGGCGGCGCTGTCGCGCGCCGCGGAGTCTCCCCTGGGAGGGACGGCAGACGCACAGCGCGCCCAGTCTCCGGCGCGTGATACCGCACCGCCCACGGGGCTGAACCCACGGGCCTGAGCCCACGGCGGGTTCGGTACTATGGACGTATGGTAGTAGGGCACGCCTCTGGCGCGGCCTGGCGTGGCGGAGAGCGTCACTAGAAGCCGAACACGCATTCTTGTCTCCCAACCAGCGCTCGACAGGACACGGATTCCACAGTCTTCCGCCGCCTTCCGCTGCATTCCGCTGTCTTCCCCCTCCGTTGTGTTCCCGCCCTGATGTTGGCGTCTTCACAGCACGTAGGAGAGCGGCCGGCCCGACGGCGTGTTCGTGAGCGTCGGCGGCGGCTCGCTGCTGGCTGGGGTGGCGAGTGTGCTGAAGAGCACGTGGCCGGCGACCAAGGCGAGATGCGGGGAGATGGGGGGAGATGCGGGGAGATATGGGGCGGTGGGGGGAGGTGGGGGGGTATGGGGAGATCTGGGGAGATCTTGGGAGGTATGGGGGGTCGCGAGGGGTACTTGTGTGTCTGGCGAGAAGTCGACCTTCCCCCCGACCCTAGCACCCCTACCCTAGCACCCCTACCCTAGCACCCCTACCCTAGCACCCTACCCTAGCACCCCTACCCTAGCACCCTACCCTAGCACCCCTACCCTAGCACCCCTACCCTAGCACCCCTACCCTAGCACCCCTACCCTAGCACCCCTACCCTAGCACCCCTACCCTAGCACCCCTACCCTAGGTGATCGCTGTCGAGCCTCGCTCGGCGGACCTTCTCTCGCGCTCGCTGATGGTTGGCACGCGCATCACCGACGGAGGGCCCGCCGAGCCTAGAAGCCGAACACACGGATTCTTGTACTCCAGCCAGCGCTCGAGAGGACACGGACTCGACTGTACTCGGTCGTAATCGCATTCCCCCCGTCCTCACGCGGTGCTCTGAGTACACTCTGAGTACACTGCACACCCCTGTCTTCCCGCCCCCGAGGCCGTCTTCAGCACGCAGGCCCGCGGGTGAGAAGGCTGCGGAGGGCGTCGCCGTCGGCCAGATCGGACCCGAGGTGTTCCGCATCTGCGACGCACTCCCCCACATCTCCCCCATATCTCCCCATACTTCCTGCGTTATAGGTGTTCCGCATCTGCGACGCACTCGTCGACGAGGTACCGCACCACCCACTGGACTGAACCCACACTGGGCTCGGTAGTATGGAGGTATGGTAGGTGATGCTCGCGCAGAGATACCGCACCACCCACTGGACTGAACCCACACTGGGCTCGATAGTATGGAGGTATGGTAGGTGATGCTCGCGAGAGATACCGCACCACCCACTGGACTGAACCCACACTGGGCTCGATAGTATGGAGGTATGGTAGGTGATGCTCGCGAGAGATACCGCACCACCCACTGGACTGAACCCACACTGGGCTCGATAGTATGGAGGTATGGTAGGTGATGCTCGCGCAGAGATACCGCACCACCCACTGGACTGAACCCACACTGGGCTCGGTAGTATGGAGGTCTGGTAGGTGATGCTCGCGCAGAGATACCGCACCACCCACTGGACTGAACCCACACTGGGCTCGATAGCATGGAGGTATGGTAGGTGATGCTCGCGAGAGATACCGCACCACCCACTGGACTGAACCCACACTGGGCTCGGTAGTATGGAGGTATGGTAGGTGATGCTCGCGCAGAGATACCGCACCACCCACTGGACTGAACCCACACTGGGCTCGATAGTTATGGAGGTATGGTAGGTGATGCTCGCGCAGAGATACCGCACCACCCACTGGACTGAACCCACACTGGGCTCGATAGTATGGAGGTGTGGTAGGTGATGCTCGTCGACGAGATACCGCACCACCCACTGGACTGAACCCACACTGGGCTCGATAGTATGGAGGTATGGTAGGTGATGCTCGTCGACGAGATACCGCACCACCCACTGGACTGAACCCACACTGGGCTCGATAGTATGGAGGTCTGGTAGGTGATGCTCGCGAGAGTTACCGCACCACCCACTGGACTGAACCCACACTGGGCTCGATAGCATGGAGGTATGGTAGGTGATGCTCGTCGACGAGATACCGCACCACCCACTGGACTGAACCCACACTGGGCTCGATAGTATGGAGGTATGGTAGGTGATGCTCGCGAGAGATACCGCACCACCCACTGGACTGAACCCACACTGGGCTCGATAGCATGGAGGTATGGTAGGTGATGCTCGCGCAGAGATACCGCACCACCCACTGGACTGAACCCACACTGGGCTCGATAGCATGGAGGTGTGGTAGGTGATGCTCGTCGACGAGATACCGCACCACCCACTGGACTGAACCCACACTGGGCTCGATAGTATGGAGGTATGGTAGGTGATGCTCGTCGACGAGATACCGCACCACCCACTGGACTGAACCCACACTGGGCTCGATAGTATGGAGGTATGGTAGGTGATGCTCGCGCAGAGATACCGCACCACCCACTGGACTGAACCCACACTGGGCTCGGTAGTATGGAGGTCTGGTAGGTGATGCTCGTCGCCGAGCGCGAGATCGCCGCCGCTGTCCGCGACGTCTTCCTCGACACGCGAGCCGTCCTCGAGCCCGCCGCTCTATTTCCTTGTTGGCGCGCACCACTCCTTTTGCTCCTAGGCGCGCCGTGCTCGAGCCCGCCGGCGCCGTCTCGGTGGCCGGTCTCAAACAGTACGTCGCCCGCCGCCCGCCAGCGCCGAGCGCGCCGCCGCCCGCGTTCGTCGCCATCGCCGGCGACGCGTCCAACATCGAGTTCAGCAACATCTGGAGCGTCAGCAGGTTGCTGAGGTGCTGCCGCATTTCTTCTCCTATGGCTTTTTTTTCTTGTTTCTAGGAGCGTCAACAGTTTGCTGGAGCGCGTCGCGCAGGCAGAGCGCACCCCCGCGGAGTAGACGGCGGCAGGCGGCGGCGGCCGAGTCTACGGCGGCTACGTCCTACGTGTACCGCTTGGTGTGATCGCGAGTCGACCGTTGCAGGAGATCGCCGACGCCCGGAGTATGCCACCGATTGCGCGACTGCAGTCGGCAGGGCTCTCTATTGCGAGACCCCTCGCGACCTCGCTTCTCGCGATCCCACCCCCGACCACTATCTCCCCTATCTATTGTATTGACCGGACTATTGTCTCGCTTGTCTTCAACTTGAACTATGGCGAATGCGTACAGCCGTCTACAGTAACTATAGTGCACAGTGTCTCTGTCTGTTTCTCTTGCACTCAGATCCACAGACAACCCATCGAGATCACTTTTATATAGAGAGAGCACACAACCTCGAGAAAGAAAAGACGTCACACCTTTACCGCCGCGAACGTCACCATGACTGGGATGGGGTCGTCCGCCGCCGCCGCCCGCGTGCCGGCGCCGCCCTTTCCGCGCACGCCGAAGCGGCCCCGCCGGCGGCGCCTCCCCCAGAGGGCCGCACCGAGCACGACGAGCAGCGCGCCAGCCGCGCCGCCTGTTCACAGCGTGGCGCGTGAAGAGGCCCCGTTCACACCTCCGCCCCACACGCCACGTGGCAGAAGCGCCACCGGCGGCGCCAGCGATGAGGGCGGCGTCGGTGCTGCTCCCGCCGCCGGGGGAAGCTGCTGCGTCGGTGGGCGGCGGCGGCGGCGGCGGCGGCAGCGTTGGCTGCGGCAGAGCGGCCCACGCCACCATGGTTGTGACAGGTGACTCGTTGAAACTGACCTGTTCACAGCGAACGCGGTGTGAAGAAAGCCACTGCCGCTCAAATGGCGGATTGCTAGCTACGGTCTTGCGCGGCCATTGCCCCGCGGATGATGGAGAGATTCACGGACTTGACGGGGTAGTTGCCTTCGGCACCTGCGGTGACGGGAACGTCGGGAACGGGATTTGTCCCAACGCAGCGCAGTGCTGCAGCACTTCTGGACACTGTGCTCTCGACGACGCGCACTGCAATGGTTGTTGCGCACCTCGCTTTGGCTAAAGACAAAGACGGGGCTCACAAGTGTGGCTTGCCCCAGCATCAAATGAGAACCCAAACGTGGGTGCTACGGTACCCTCGCGCTCGCGCTGGCGTGCCACCATGCTGGCGCAATTCGATTGTGACGGAGGGTGTGTGGTGCGTGGGTGTGTATGTGCGGGACATGAGACGAATCATGGATGTCTGCTCGCAAGGCCGGCATAGGGCTGCGACGGCGCCTTCAAGACAGTGGCGGCCGGCGCGCCAATGTGGCGGCCGGAGGCCCAGGTCGCCTCGCGCATTGTACGGCTTTTAGGAGGGGGGTGGGGAGACATTAGCGATTAGGTGGGGGGCGGGGAGACGGAGACGCGGTTTGAGTTTATAGATGTCCGGTGTTTGAGATCTTTATACAGACGTCAAACACGAAACACCGCATGGCATCAGAAGTTTTATCTCTGGGCCCCGAAAGCCATCTCTAGCAGCGTCGTTACGCATGCGCGCACACACCACCCACAAGAGGGGGACCCCTTCTGATGACCCGCGTTCTGAGATCTTCGAGCTGCTTGTCGTCTTGATTACAGTCGTCCATGCTGGCCTTAGCCTCTCTCGGCGCCTCGGCGGTGGCCGCACGGACGGCCGTGCCGCCCGCCGCCTCGACCGCCAGGCCGCGCGCCGCGCCCGCCGCCATGCAGATGCCCGACGAGTCGTGGACGTGGGAGGACGAGTGCGGCATCGAGCAAATCGGCGCGCCCGCCTAGCAGAGAAGGAGGCGGTTGAGGGCGCGCCGCACGAGCCGCCGCCCACGCCAGCCCTGCGCCGAGGGGAGAGTGCGCGCCGAGGGCGCGCCGCAGAGAGGACCCTCGCCCCGTCGCCTCGCTCAGGCGACTGCATGGCCAACGGCATCTCGCGCGAGGCGGCGGCGATGCACTCGCACCTCCGCAAGGGCGGGCGCGGTGGGTCGCCAATGCAGCCCGACTTTGGCCCACCGGGCGGGCACCACGCCGGCCGGCACTGGAGCGGCCACCAGCACCCGCCGCAAGGCGGCCGGCTCCGGCCCCTCGGCCGCGCGGCGCCGAGCCGCGACGGCGGTCGGCCCGGCGGCCGGTACGGCGGCGGCGGCGGGCCCCCGATGGGGATGCGCGGGCCTCCGATGGGGATGCCCATGCGCCCCCGGTACGGCGGCCCGATGATGCCTGACGCCCCTCCGCCGCACCAGTGGGGCGGCCCCCCTGCCCACGGGGCTAGCCCCCCTGCCCACGGGGCTAGCCACGGGCTGCAGCCGCCTATCTTTGGGTTTGAGCCGCTGCCCTTCGACGACGGCGCGCCTCCGCAACCGAGACCCGAGACGCCCGTGACCCGCCCCGCCGCCCCCGGTTCGGGCGCCGGGCAGACCCCCCCCCCCCCCTCGCCCCTTCTCTCTCAGGCCCACAGCCTCCGGGCATCAAGGGGCGCTGGCGGTGGTAAGACGCGCCGCGGCGGGCACGAGCGGCCGACCGAGGCGAGCGGGGCCGGAGAGTCGAGTAGGTTGCGCGCGCAGCCAATGTCTGGCGCGGCGCGAGCTTTGTGCGGCGCGAGTAGCTCGTGCGGCGGTGAGGAGTGCGGCGGTTGTGGGGTGGTGCGGCGTCGGCCCTCTGCAGGGCCTCGCGCCTCTCGAGGCGGTCATGGCGGGGAGGCGAGGCGGGGAGGCGTAGCGGATTGGGGAGGAGCAGGCGCATGGGGAGGGAGGGCGCCGCGGCGACGCCGCGCTAGTAGGGAGCGCGAGGGGAGAGGCCGCGCAGCGCAGGGGGAGGTCCACCCAGGGGAGGTTGTGCATCGACCCTACTAGTAGCTAGCGGAGGGTGTGGAGTCCCGGTGCGCGATGGCGGCGGACTGAGTTTTATCATGTAAATTATCTGATACATGTACGAAATAGTGGGCTAATATTGCGCGAACATTCAAAGTGAGAGTTACTCCCCGCCGGTTCGCGACTTCAACTCGCTGTCCACGCTGACAGAGCTCAGGCGTCAGAGCGCACAGCGCGGTCAGGCTCAAGGGAGCACATGAGCACAGCGAGGCAGCTTCGCGCCAGGGTTTGTGACAGGGAGTCGAGAGAGCCGCGCCCCGTGCGGCGTGCGCGCGCTTAAATTCTCTCTGAGATCTCTCAGTCTCCTACAGTCAGACACAACAGTCTCACCTATGTCTTCGATGGTCTCAAAAACTCAATCTCTCATATCTCACACTCTCATCCGGCGGCGTCGCTGTCCGTGCCAGCCCCCGTCTCCGTGCCGTCCTCACTCTCTCCGGGGAGGCTCTCGAGCCGAAGCTTGCGCGTAGCTGCGCTCAGCTCCAGCTGCAGCGCAGCGATAGCGGACTGCAGGCTCCGGCTCTTCTCCTCGAGGCTCGCAATTGCGCGGCGCGCCTGGATCAGCTCATCCTCCTCCTTGTCCAGGTCCTTCAAGTAGCGATCCGTCAGCTTGGACGACGCCACCTTCTCGAGTGACTTGATGTTCTCGCGGAGCCGATCCTGGTTCTTGAAGCAGTCGTTGATGTGCGCGTTGTGCGCTGCAGCCTTGCGGCCCGCCTCCTCTCGCGAGTGGTTGTGGTCGAGCAGCTCCTCGAGCTGCTGCAGCATCTCGGCCGGCAGGAGCGCGCCCTCGCGCCACTGCTTGAGCTCTTGCGGCGTGACGCTGTCGCGCTCGACCTTGTCGAGGAGTGCCGCGCACTCCTCTCGCGCGATGAACGTCTCGAGCAAGGCGCGCGTCGAGGCCGCCATCACGCCGCTATCTGCCGCGCGGAGCTGCGAGTCGAGCAGCATGCGCAGCTGGCGCGCGGTCGTACGGCACGACGAGTGCGCTGCCGTCTCGCGCACGGTGAACTCGCGCTGCTCGCCCGGGGCCAGCACGAACTTGAAGCGAGAGAATGCCGTCGTCTTCTTGATGGCGCCCTCGGTGAGCACGGAGAAGCCGCCGCAGCCCGGAGCAGCCGAGTGGTCGAGGTATAGCGTCACGGGCGCCCCGCTCGGTGCGTTATTGCGCAGCGTGTAGCTCGTGGTGAGGTGCTCGCGGTGCGTGAGCCGGCAGCCCGCGAGGCGGCGGCGGCGGCCGCTGCTCTCTGCGGCGCGCTGCTGCTCGGCGCGCAGCCAGTGCAGCTCCACCTTCTCGACCGCCGCCTCCTTGTCGACGCGGCGCTCCACCGAGACGGTCGAGTCTTCGCCCCACGGGATGAGCTGCTCGTCGCCCGGCAGCATCGGCGTGAACGGGCACTGCGCGACGAGCCGGCCGCCCTCCGAGACCGAGCAGGTGCCGGGGGCAAGGACGCGAGTGGTGTCGTTGGTCAGATGGATGCAGCGCGTGGCGCAGACCTCGGACGCCTTCGGGTCGTACACGAGCACGCGGTCGCCGCGCACCGCGTGGCTGCCCAGCTCGACCGACGCCGTCTCCCCGGCGCGCACCGTGACAGCGTGCGGCACCTCGTAGATGACGTGCTCCGAGAGGCCGCTCAGAGCGACCGCGTCGAGGCTCTCGAAGCCGTCGCTGACAGGGTCACCAGAGGCCGGCCCGCCGCGCAGCCGCAGCACCAGGTGGAGCGTCGACTCCTTCTGGATGTTGTAGTCCGAGAGGGTGCGGCCGTCCTCGAGCTGCTTGCCCGCGAAGATGAGGCGCTGCTGGTCGGGCGGGATGCCCTCCTTGTCCTGGATCTTGGCCTTGATGTTGTCGATCGAGTCGGAGAACTCGACGTCGAGCGTGATTGTCTTGCCCGTGAGCGTCTTGACGAAGAGGTTGCCCGAGTCTGAGATCTGCCCCCACGCCTTGTGCTTGCCCTTGGACAAAGTGCCGGCGGCGCTCTTGCGCGCGCCGCTCTCCTTCTTCAGCAGCTGCAGCTCGTTGGCCACGAGCGACAGCGCGACGCCCTCCCAATCCTCCTCCCCGATGTTGGAGACGGTGGCAAACAGCCGAAGCCGGGCCTCGGCCATCGCCGCGCCGAGCGGCTCCGGCGGCACTTCGAGCCGGTACTGGCAGAGCCACTCCTTTGCTGGCTGCGCGTACGACACGAGCAGCTCGTCGAACGAGCCCGCCGCCTCGCCACCCGACCCGCTTGCTGCCGCCCGCGCGACGAGCGTCAAGTCCGTGTGCCTCTTGGGTGCGGCCGGCTTGCGCGCACTCAGCCTCGCGCCGAGCGCCTTGCGCAGGTCCTGCTGCAAGCTGTCGTCGAGCATGCAGATTGACCGCAGCACGTCGAAACGCACTCGAACCATCGATCCGCCGTGGTCGAGCACGACGAGCTCGGACCAAACGAGCTCAGCCTCCTCCGTCCCGGGCACCGCCCGCTTCTCCTTTTCCAGCAGCAGGAGCCGCCCGGAAATGGCCGACGCCGCCTCATCGCCCGTGGTGAGGGAGCAGTCGGCCCCGACCACCGAGGCGAGGAAGTCGCCGAGCGAGCTGCCGAGAGCAAACTCGTGGAGAGGCTCTCCTCCTGTACCCACCCGCGGTGCAGAATCTGGGTAGCTCACGATCACGCTCGCTGAGCCGGCGCTGACGTCGAGCGTCTCCATTGTGAGATCGCGCACTTCGTTCGGCACGCTGAGCCCAAACGAGGCCGTCTCGCCGCCGAGCGAGCCGGCGCGCTCGACGAAGGCGAGCGCGTTCTTGTAGACGGTCACCTTTTTGAGGTGTGTGCGAGCAGCAAGCATGCTTGGACGGGCTAGGACGCGACCAAAGGGAGCAAAAGAAGAAAAATGAACGCCCAAGGGTGCGTTCCGCAGCTAAGGGGACAACCCAAGTCCCGGCAGCGCAGAACTATCCTCCCTCGGAGAACCGTGTTATGGCCCTGCGACCGGGACCGCGCAGCGCAGGTCACAACTGGCATGAGCTAGCCGCGACATGCACATGGTCATGGAGCTCGCCCCATGTCGCGAGTTATCGCGCGCGTTTTTTCTTTCCACCTGTACAACGGGCTAAAGCTCGCGCCTCGCGCCACATCAACGCGACGCCCCCTCACCCCTCCACGTCGAACTGCACCTGCAGCGCGAGCCGCGAGCCGCGGTGTCCCACCCGCGCCACCGGCACGGCGATGGCCGCGCCCGCGCTCCCGCTGCCATCGAGCAAGCTGCGCTCGAGCGCGGGCGCGGAGAGGGGCAGGTCCGCGTCGTAGAAGCAGCGCGTGAAGGCGCCGCCGGCGAGCCGCGGCGACGCGTCGGCAGGCGCGCCGCAGCCCGGCGCCGCCGGCCCAGCGGCGGCGGTCCGGGCGCACGCCGCCGCCATCGCGGAGGAGACCGCCGCGGGGAGGTGGCGGAGGTCTGCAGGCGCGTCGCCTGGAGGGAGGGCCGAAGAGGGCGGTGAGCGGCGCGGCGGGCGGGGCGGCGAGGCCACCCACCCACTCAGTGGGTGCCACACACACCCTTCGGCTCCGCGACGCACTGCAGAAGGATCCGGCGGCCACCGCCGCTGAGCTCCGGGTCTCCACTGTCCGGCTCTCGGCGTGGGGGGAGCGGGTCCGAGACGGCGGTGCAGCGGAAAGTAAGGCTCTGCGCCTCCTCCTCCCACTCCGCCGCCCGCGCCGGCACCGCCTCCCCCCCCGCGCCCTCCTCGCCCGCCTCCAGCTGCACCTCGACCAGTGCTCCCATCGGCAGCGCGCCGACGCGCAGCACGAGCAGCGGCGGCAGCGGCGCCCCGCCGCCGCCGCACCGCCGCCACAGCCACGCGTGGCACGCCGCGTGCACCTGCACCACGTCGCTCTCGCGCACCACATACGCAATGAGCGAGAGCGGGCGGCGAGTGCCGAGGCCGAGTCCTGAAAGGACGGCCTCGGAGTGGCGCAGCGCGAGCCGTGCCTGCGCGAGCGCCCCCCCCTCGACCAGCGCCATCGTGGTAGGGACGAGGCCGAGCTGGCCCGCGACGTTGCCGACGCCGGCAGCGGCCGTCAGCTGGCAATACGGCCCGATCATGCGCGGTGCCCACTCGGAGAGCGAGCAGACCCGGAGCAGCCGCTTCGGCGGGGCCGCTGCAAGCACCTCGAGGGCGACGCGCGCGCCAGCGGCCGCCTCGTGCAGCGGCAGCTGGACGCACGCGCGCGCTGCGGGCGTCGAACGCATCAGACTCGCGTACGCGACGTTGAGGGCTCGGTAGTGTGCCAAGTCCGACACGTACAGGCGGACGTAGAGCACCTGTTCACAGCTAGAGGTGTGAAGAGACGCTGTTCACAGGTCCGACACGTACAGGCGGACGTAGAGCACCTCTGAGAGGGATCGCCCCGCCGCAGACAAGGCCGCGGGAAGTGCGGCGACGGCTGCGCGCAGCTGCGCCACCGCAGCCTCCGCCTCCGCCCTCGCCTCCGCCTCCGCCCTCCCCTCCGCCGTGCCGCCAGCCTCTGCGGCGAAAGGTCCCGACGCGGCGGCGGCGGCGCTGCTCGGGGGAAAGACGAGCCTGCAGATGCCCGCCGAAGCGGCGTGCGCCCACCCGCCACCGCCGCCACCGCCACCGCCGCCACCGCCACCGCCGCCACCGCTGAGGTACGGATCGGCGGGCGGTGCACGCAGCGGCAGCCACTCCCTCGGCACCGCGGCGGCGGCGGAGGCGGCGGCGGAGGCGGCGGCGGAGGCGGCGGGGGCGGAGGCGACCGCGCCTGCGGCGGCGAGCGAGGCGAGGGAGGCCGCCTCCTCCCCCTCCTCCTCCCGGTTCCGCTCCTCTTCCGCCTCTGTCGCCGCCGCCCTCCGCGCCTCAGCCCACGGCGCGCGCGGCGCGCCCGCGCCGGTTGGCGGCGCGGACTCGCCCTCCCCCTTGCCGCAGATGTCGACGCCGTCGGCCGCGAGCAGTACGACGGGCGCCATGCCCGACGGGTCCTCCGAGTGGACCAGCGGCCTGGCGCCACGCAGCACGAGCCGGCGGCGGAAGAGGGGGCAGTCCAGGGTGAGCGTCTCGTACTCGCCGCCTTCGCCGCAGACGTGGAACCCAAACCGACCCTCGAGGCGCCCAAACAGCGGCGCGAGCTCGCGGATCGACCTGTGCAGGTGCGAGGCGCCCAGCCCGAGAGCGGCCACCTTGACCAGCACCGCCTCGACGCCCGCCTCTGCCATCTCTGCGAGCAGCTCAGCCTGGTTGCGCTGCCACAGGTATGCGAGCGAGACAAGGCCGAGCCGCTCGCACACGTCCTCCACTCGGGTGCGCTGGTAGTTGGACAGGATCGCGCCGCAGCACACAGCCTCAAACTCGACCTCGGCTCGCGCCGCCTCGAGCAGTCGCAACAGGTCCTCAACCTCGTCGCCGTCCGTCCGCTCGTAGATGAGGCGCTGGTCGACCGCGTCGCCGGTGATCGGCGCACGGAAGAGGGGAAGCTCGAGGCATTCAGCCAGCGCCGGCACCAGCTCCGATCCGACAGTCTGGTACATGAACGAGTCCATCTCGCGGCCGTCGTCGGCGGGAGGGTGGAGGTTGCCAAGCGCGACGAGCTCGTGGCCGTGCTCGACGCACTTCATCATCGCGTAGGTGCTGTCCTTGCCGCCAGAGAGGAGAGCGAGGACTCGCATGTATGTGTATCTTTGCCGTTGGTGGGACGTGACCTCTCGCTGCTCACTTACTCGAGGAGAGCCGCAGAAGGAGAATTTTACAAACTCTCTCGAGGTTCTCGAGGTGGATATCCTTTGGCCGCGTTGGGTAGCGAGGATTGGTGTGACGCGATCCACGCAGGCGTGTTTTCTGGCGGCCGACCGTCAGTGCACGGAGTTGCCCCTTCTCCGACTGCCCCGGCTAGTTCCCGAGGTCGCGCGGGGCTGACCCCTGCGTCCCCCGAGACCTAGCGCGGGTGGGTTGGAGGGGGCTCGCCCCGTTCCTCCCCATCGGGCCGCGTGAGCGGCCACGCCTCGCAGATTCGTTTTCGCGCCTGGGTCAGGCGCGCGGGGCATCCCCCGGGTCGCTCGACCAGCGATCCGAAGAGTGGCCGCTATGCGAAGGAAAGAGCGGGGCCCTCGACGCCTCAGTCCGGCCCTCCGAGGGGGGAAGGGAAGTGCGGGGTCCCCACGGGCGCCTCAGTTCGGCCCTCCCGAGGGGGGGGGGGGGAGCAAGGGGGTGGGGGGATCAGGGCGGTGGGGAGGGGTCTCGGTTTCTTGTGGCTAACACTTGCCTTTCGGGGAGGGGCCTCCGGCCGTGCGAGGCAAGCTCAGCTCGACATCTTCCCCTCCTCCCCAGAGGCAGCGAGTAGGCAGCGAGAGGAGGTCTCGAGCGCCTATATGAAGGTATGTGAGATGGTGATGGGAATGGGTGGTCGGGCGGGCGGGCGGGCGGGCGGGCGGGCGGGCGGGCGGGCAAGCAAGCGGGGAGCGGCGGGCGGGCGGGGCGGAGCGGGCGGGCAGGGTTATCGGGGGAATCGTGTCCACAATCAGCGGCAGCGGAGCAGCAGCCGCAGCAGCAGCTGCTGCAGCAGCAAGCAGCAGCCAGATTGCTGCCGTTGTCTGCGCCGCGATCCGCCGCCGCGCCGCCGCGCCGCCGCCGCCTGCGCTCGCCGCCGCCTCGTAGACGACTCCTCTCGCGCTCGGAGAGCCGCGCAGCGGGCCGCGAGGTTGTGGTCAGAGAGCAGCAGGGTTGAGATCCACAAAATCGGCCAAATTTGAGGTTGCTCGAGAGAGCCTGGAAATGGTCCCGCGCCGTTGCCCCGGTGCCGGCGCATCACGTCTCAGCCGCGATGGGCCGGTTCCGCCGCGCAGTCGAGCAGCAGAAGCTCGGAGGCAACTTTGTCGACAAACTGGTCGAGCCAAAAATCGGCGAAGAAGCGGCACTGGCGGCACGCCGGGACGAATCCGGACTGATCACATTGTTCGGCACCGCGACGGCGAGCCGCCGCGAGCCCACCGGAGAGCTGGGAGCCGCGGCACTGGACTGCGCCGCCAGCGAGGCGAGAGCAGCAGCCGACCGGCCGTGACATGGCAGTTAGACGGCGGGATTTTTTCCACAACCTGACAGGCGAGGCGCGGGCGACGGCTTCCTCAGAAGCCGTCGCCCGCACCACAGGAGCAGTCACACCAAATTCTCACCCCGGCGCCCACCCACTCTCCACCCCGACATCCCCACCCCACCCCACAACCCCGCCCCCCCCCGACCCGAGCAACCCCGCCCCAACCCGACCCGACCCGATCCACCCTTGAGGGCGGCGGCCAGCGCCTTGCAGCCCTCGTCGCCAATCTTGTTGCCGTTGAGATTGAGAAACTCGAGCCGCGGCGCTGCCCCCTCCTTGCCGAGGGCGGCGGCCAGCGCCTTGCAGCCCTCGTCGCCAATCTCGTTGTCGCCGAAAGAGAGCTTCTCGAGCCGCGGCGCTGCCCCGCTCGCGAGGACCTCCGCCAGCTGCGCCGCCTCCGCGTCGCCCCAGTCGAGGCAGGCGTAGAACAGGTCGGTCGCCTTGCCAAACTGCTCCTCGAAGGCGGCCTTGTAAAGCTGCTTCACGAGCGGTTTGTCGTCCTTGCCGTTGGTGAAGCTCTTCGTCTCCAGCTCCGCCGCGAACGCAGACGGCAGCAGCGGAGGGCGCCGGCCGCCGTCCTTTCTGCAATCATCTCGGAGGCTGTCGTAGTCGTACTCCTTGCCGTCGCGCATCAAGCCGAGGTCGAGCGAGAGGTCGTATTCCTTTGTCAGGCTCGCCCAGGCGCTCTCGGTGAAGCACCAGCCGCGGTCAAAGTACTTGGCCACGTCGGTGCCCTCGGCCTGGTCCTCCGCCTTGTGGCCGTCCGGGAAGGAGGTCAGCCGCAGCACCCAAGTGCTGCGGGTGGGAGTAGAGCGTGCCGAGGCAGCCCAGCCCCTGCTTGGTAGAAGCGGTAGAGGGCGCGCACGCCTAAAATCGAAAGTCGTGGTTGGTGCGAGAGGGGCTTGGTGATTCGATTCCGTTCTTATCCTTCCATATACTTCACACCAGTCACCACCAACACGCTCGAGACGTGGGTCGTATGTACCAGCCCTATATGCACCCATGTACCTCGATATCCAGAAACCCCGGCGCTGCGCGTGCGTCTCAGCGGCAAAGAAGAACAACCCCCGCAACCCACCAAACCCCCGCGCGCCCCCACCGTCGCTGTACGTCGTGCGTCGCTCCTTCGCAGCCACGGGGACGGGTCTGCTGCTCTCTGCCGTGCTCACGCGGCGGTCCAGCCAGTCCCGGCGCCCTTGCCGCCCGGCCGGGGCTGGAGAGGCTCAGTAGAGGAAGATGCCGCGCTTGTTGCACACGGCCACCAGCTCAGGCTGGTCGCTGTTCTCGCTGCCCACGTAGAGCTTCTGCACGCGAGGGGAGGTGCGATGAGCATTGGGCGGGGGAGGGGCGTGTGGCGAGGGGGGCGTCTCGCGCCTCCAAGCTCGGGGCGGCCCCCTCCTTGAGGGCGGCGGCCAGCGCCTTGCAGCCCTCGTCGCCAATCTTGTTGCCGTTGAGATTGAGAAACTCGAGCCGCGGCGCTGCCCCCTCCTTGCCGAGGGCGGCGGCCAGCGCCTTGCAGCCCTCGTCGCCAATCTCGTTGTCGCCGAAAGAGAGCTTCTCGAGCCGCGGCGCTGCCCCGCTCGCGAGGACCTCCGCCACCTGCGCCGCCTCCGCGTCGCCCCAGCCGAGGCAGGCGTAGGAGAACAGGTCGATCGCCTTGCCAAACTGCTCCTCGAAGGCGGCCTTGTAAAGCTGCTTCACGAGCGGTTTGTCGTCCTTGCCGTTGGTGAAGCTCTTCGTCTCCAGCTCCGCCGCGAACGCAGACGGCAGCAGCGGAGGGCGCCGGCCGCCGTCCTTTCTGCAATCATCTCGGAGGCTGTCGTAGTCGTACTCCTTGCCGTCGCGCATCTTGCCGAGGTCGAGCGAGAGGTCGTATTCCTTTGTCAGGCCCGCCCAGCTGGACTCGGTGAAGCACCAGCCGCGGTCAAAGTACTCGGCCACGTTGGTGCCCTCGGCCTGGTCCTCCGCCTTGTGGCCGTCCGGGAAGGAGGTCAGCCGCAGCACCCATGTCTTCGGGTGGGAGTAGAGCGTGCCGAGGCAGCCCAGCCCCTGCTTGAAGAGCGCGTTCTGCTCCTCGGTGCGCATGACGCCGTTGGCGGGGTCGGGGTGCTGGTGCAGCGAGCCGAAGTCCCAAAAGACGCCGAGCCGCGTGAAGCTGGGAAAGCTGAGAATGGCCTTGAGCGCCCTTGCGACGCGGGCGAGGTTGGCTCCGCGCGGGTCGGGGTGGTCCTTGGTCAGCCACGGGTAGGAGAGCGCGGCGACGGCAAGGTCATACTCGTCGGTCGCCTCGACGAGATCGGCGAAAGAGAGGAAGGCCTCTTCAGGCAGCGCCTGGCGGTGGGAGAGGACGCCGCCCGCCTCGGCGTGGCGGATGATCCACTGCGCGTCGAGGAGGGCGACGGCGCCGCTCGCGAGGACCGGCTCCAGGTCGCCGCCGCCGAGCTTGCGCCACATCCTTAGCTTCCGTGGATCCACACCGAGGTCATCGGCAGCGACAAGAGGCGCGATAGTCGTCGCATCGATCGAAACCTGTGAGTTGGGTTCGGACGCCTCGGACGCTGCACCTGGCGAGGACGGCTGCAACGAGCGTTCGGCCCGAGAATGCAGCACGGCCTTGCGTGGGCGAGGCAGCTTCTTCTCGAACCACGCGCGCATGGACAGCATCGCGACGGTGCTCAACAGCGGCTCGGCTGACGCGGCGAGCCCAAGGAGTCGAAACGCGAGCTGAAGGCGTGTCACGAGTGGCCGAGCGGGGTTTCTTATTTTTTTCTTCTCGAGGTTCTCGAGGTGGATATCCTTTGGCCGCGTTGGGTAGCGAGGATTGGTGTAACCCGAGCCACGGAGGCGTGTTTTCTGACGGCCGACCGTCAGTGCACGGAGTTGCCCCTTCTCCGACTGCCCCGGCTAGTTCCCGAGGTCGTCGGGTGTGACCCCTTCGTCCCCCGAGACCTAGCGCGGGTGGGTTGGAGGGGCCTCGGTTGGAAGGCGCGCAAGCACGCCCTACGTCTTCCCCTCCTCCCCATCGGGCCGCGTGAGCGGCCACGCCTCGCAGATTCGTTTTCGCGCCTGGGTCAGGCGCGCGGGGCATCCCCCGGGTCGCTCGACCAGCGATCCGAAGAGTGGCCGCTATGCGAAGGAAAGAGTGGGGCCCTCGGGGTACGCCTCGTCCGGCCCCCTCCGAGGGGGGAAGGGAATTGCGGGGTCCCCTCGGGCGCCTCAGTTCGGCCCTCCCGAGGGGGGGAGGGGAGCAAGGGGGTGGGGGGATTGGGGTGGTGGGGAGGGGTCTCGGTTTCATGTGGCTAATACTTGCCTTTCGGGGGGGGCCTCGCGCCGTGCTAGCGCAGTGGCGCCCGCTCGACCTCTTCCCCCCCTCCCTCGAGGCAGCGAGTAGGCAGCGAGGGGAGGTCTCGAGCGCCTATATGAAGGTATGTGAGATGGTGATGGGAATGGGAGGTCGGGCGGGCGGGCGGGCGGGCGGGCGGGCGGGCGGGCGGGCAAGCGGGGAGAGGCGGGCGGGCGGGGCGGGGCGGGCGGGCGGGGTGATCGGAGAAGTCGTAGCCACAATCCGCAGCAGCGGAGCAGCCGCAGCCGCAGCAGCTGCTGCAGCTGCCACGCACTGCTCTCTCTCAGCCATCGTGAAACGGCTGTGCGGCTGTGCTTTGACGTTTGAGGACAGGAAAACGCCACCGAGCGCAGTGCCGAGCCGCGCTGCTGCTGCCCGCTAGCAGACAGTGCAACAGCGGGGCTGTGGCCTCATTTTGCCAGATTTTAGCCATAGTGCTCGCATGTAGTATATGCGAGCACCTATCTCGCTACCGTTGCGGATTGAGGTCCCGCGCACCTGTTTTTTGGAACCACCACAGCTAGCTGTGGTGGTGGGAGTGGTAGAGGATGTGATAGAGGATTAGAAGTGTGATGTTACAATGATTGACACATGCATATCAAACATACTAGCAAGCTAACAAGGAAGCTAGCGACTGTGATAAGCGTCTGGGAGCATGATATTCGATAATATGATATTGAAAATTGCAGTGAGACATGCGATGCCTGATCTTCTTCTTTATACTTTATCAAACAGTAACGAGGTCAGTTCAGGTTCTCTATCAGTGCGAGGGAGTTTTGTTGTAAAATTCTCTATCAGCGCGCCTACTCGCATAATGTGGGTAAACGAAAAAAGTAGCGCCCAATTCGTCTACGTACGGCTTGGTGTGTGGTTGGGGTGGCCTCAGGCATCCCCAAGGGAGCCTCTGCGGTGCCACATAAGCAGCTGAGTGATTGTCGAGACTTTAAAGGATTCGTTTGAAGAAACGCAAACAAGACAAACGGTACTATGGTCACCAGTAAACGAAAATTCGACTTTGAGGGATCATATCTCAAAAGGCTGGGTGAGAGCATAGCATTATTGTTGCATATTATACCACATAAGGTCAAACTTGACCCCAGAAGCATCAAGAACCCGATGCTCCGGCTCGACTGTGCCGGCACACTGCCTCCTCGCGCACGCTGCTCGCAGGCCGTTGCGGCCCGTGGTGCGCCAGAGAGAGAGGTCGACGCGTTGCCCCCGCCGGCGACCCCGCGCGGCTCAGGCCAGCCAGAAGGTGTGTGGTGACGGCACCGTGGCAGGAGTGCGGAGAAGAGCTCGCCGAACGCGAGCAGCAGATGGCCAAAGTGTGCCAGCGCGAGAGCCTCGCGAGCGGGCGCAGAAGGAGCTCGCCGTGACACGATGCCGGGCGGTGGTGGTGCTCTGGCGACTGTGCACAGTGGGCAAAGTCAGGCTGCAACAGGGCAGCACGTTGGTAGTGCCCTGCTGCAGCCTGGCCTGACATGCACAGGGCGAACAGAGGCGGTACTATCGTCCGGCGCTCGTCACCGAATCTGGGCGAACTTCGACCGCCGCCACAGCTCACCACGAGCACGCAGCGACAAAATGTTGACTGTATGGAAGTCGAGGCTGGTCCATAGGAAGAGGCTGCCGTGCGAGCCGGCAGCAGGCTGGCTCGTCGTGGACTGCCGCGGCGACTTTTTTCGGTGTCTTTCTTGATAGTACCGAATACGGTACTTTCGTTTACCCACACTCTGCGAGTACCGCCCTGGGTGGGAATTCGTGCCCCGTTAACCGCCATTCGGGCCTCCCGGCCTGCTGCGGCGGCGGCGCGGCCGGTTGAGGCCGGGCTCGGCCCGGCCCGCGACGGCTGGCCGCCGACGAGCGCGCTCGCGCTGCTCGTCAAGATGGCGGCGGTGGCGATTGCGGCGACAAAAGTGCAGGCGTACAGCGCTCAGGCGCACCTGTCGTCTTTCGTCTTTTGTCGCATTTCGCACACGCGCGCGCCGCGCGACCCGCGTCGCTCCGCGAGGGCATGAGCCTTCCGCGATTCGATCCCGCAGCCAAAAGCTGCTCGCTCGAACCGCGGCTGACTCTACCATCGCGGCTGCAGCTGTCGAGCTCTCCAAAAAACTGGTGCCTCATATGCTGCCTCCCTGCGGATGCTGCCGGCGAGCCTGGCGGTCCGCTGTACTACAAGGATGTGCTGACTCGATTCTACCTCGAATTCTTCTACCCCCACGACTCGGAACACGAATGTGACAGGACCATCGGGTCCTTCAGCCACCAAAGCGGGATCACCCGAGAGCAGCTGAGCCTGCCTCTGGCCTCGCCTCCCTCTCCTTCAGGCATTCGTGGCATCCTATGGGTCGTCCAGAGTATCGACCTCTGGCTTGTCAGCCGGTCACTTGATGACACCATGAAGTACAGCGATCGCCACCTCGCTGGCCTCTCCGCAGCCCCCCCCCGACCGCGTCGAACTCATCGGCGCGGGCTCTCTCGGCTACGGGACCGGCCCCAGCTTCGGCTGAGGGCTGACAAGCTGCCGAGCCCAAATCACACACACACGTGTCGGCTGGGTGGGTGGTGGGCAATTCAGCAAATTGATGTGACGGGAGTGGTGCACCTCACTCAGCTTTTGGTCGCCAGTTCGAATCTGCTCAGAGGAGTCGAATCGGATCAGGAGAGGGTAGCAGAGAGGGTAGCAGAGAGGGTAGCAGAGAGGGTAGCAGAGAGGGTAGCAGAGAGGGTAGCAGAGAGGGTAGCAGAGAGGGTAGCAGAGAGGGTAGCAGAGAGGGTAGCAGAGAGGGTAGCAGAGAGGGTAGCAGAGAGGGTAGCAGAGAGGGTAGCAGAGAGGGTAGCAGAGAGGGTAGCAGAGAGGGTAGCAGAGAGGGTAGCAGAGAGGGTAGCAGAGAGGGTAGCAGAGAGGGTAGCAGAGAGGGTAGCAGAGAGGGTAGCAGAGAGGGTAGCAGAGAGGGTAGCAGAGAGGGTAGCAGAGAGGGTAGCAGAGAGGGTAGCAGAGAGGGTAGCAGAGAGGGTAGCAGAGAGGGTAGCAGAGAGGGTAGCAGAGAGGGTAGCAGAGAGGGTAGCAGAGAGGGTAGCAGAGAGGGTAGCAGAGAGGGTAGCAGAGAGGGTAGCAGAGAGGGTAGCAGAGAGGGTAGCAGAGAGGGTAGCAGCGGGGATCGGAGACGCAACACAACGCTGTCTCACAGAAGGAAGTATTCGGAGAAGAACAAAAGAAACCGGCGGTAAAGAGAGGAAAAGAATTCTCATGCAGAAGAAAAACACGCGGCGCCGCACGCGCTGCAGCTGCACACCCACCGGCGCGCTACAACCGTTGTTGTTAGCGGGGGCCGGACGAGGAAGATGTCGAGCAGCGACCCGCAGTGCACACCCGCGCAGCCGCCACCGCCCGATCCGCCGCACCAGCCGCCACCACTCGACCCGCCGCACCAGCCGCTGCACCAGCCGCCGCAGCAGAGCGCGGCCTCCGCTGCGCTAGCAGCGCCCGACACCGGTGCTGCGGAGCCGCGGCCGCAGTCGCCGGCGCTTGCGGCGTCCTTCATCGCCGATGTGGAGCCGCGGCCGCAGTCGCCGGCTCGTCCGCCACCCCACCACCAGACTCTCCAGCAGCCCCCACCCCTTCTTCCCGACCCGCCGCCCTTGCTGCCGCAGCCCATGCAGGAGCCTCCGCCGCTGCAGCAGCAGCCACCCCCGCCGCTGCAGCAGCAGGAGCCTGTAGTTGCCGCGCAGCCGCTGCAGCAGCAGCCTCCCCCGCCGCTGCATCAGCAGCCTCCCCCGCCGACGATGGTTGCGACGCCGCTGCAGCAGCAGCCTCCTCCACCGCTGCAGCAGCAGCCGCCCCGGCTGCAGTGGCAGCCGCCTCCTCCCCAGCACCAGCCGCCGCCGCAGCCGCCGCCGCCGCCGCAGCCTCCCGACCGCCTCTCGCTGCTGCGCCGCCCCGGCTCGTCGTCTGGCTTCTTCGGCGTCACCAAGGAGAGGAAGGGATCCGCCGCGAGGCGCTACCTCGCCATCTCTCTCCCCCACCTCTCCCCCACCTCTCCCCCACCTCTCCCCCACCTCTCCCCCATCTCTCCTGTGCGATAGGCCCTACCTCGCCCAGATCCGGCGCGAAGGACGCCAGCGCAAGCTCGGCCGCCAACCACCACCGCCCTCGAGGCGGATCAATGCCGGTGGCGCGTGCGCGACGTGTGCGAGACACGTCCCATAGGCCGCTTCTCGACTGCCCTCGAGGCGGCGCACGCGTACGTCGACGCGATGACGGACGAGGACGTGACGAGGCTCGCGTACCGCACCTCCGTAGTACCGAACCCAGTAGTGTGGGTTCAGTCCCGTGGGGTGTATGGTTAGGCTGGCCGCGGCGGCGCCGCTGCGGGATGACGGCCTCTCTGTCGAAGCGGCGGCGGAGGCGGCGGAGGCGCAAGCGCAGCAGCTGCAGCTGACCCTCGAGGAGGCGAGATCTCCCCACATCTCCCCACATCTCCCCACATCTCCCCACGTCTCCCCACATCTCCCCACATCTCCCCACATCTCCCCACATCTCTCCACATCTCCCCACATCTCCCCACATCTCGCAACTGGCTCGCCCTTGGGGAGGCGCCGCTTGCACCAGTGCTTCATAGTACTGCGGAGGGGCTTTGACGCGATGAAGGGCGCGCGCACACACACCTTCTGCGCTCGACTGACCTGTCAAGACGCGTCTCGCTCTCTCCGGCGCCCGGCACAACGTCGGGAGACCCATCTCTCCCCCTGCTCTCCCCCTGTCCCGCCATGTCTCCCGATGTCTCCCCCCCCTCTCGCCGTCTCAGGCGCCCGGCACAAAGTCGGGCTACCGTGGCGTCGCGGTGCAGAAGAAGTCGGCCTCGCACCCCTTCACTGCGGTGGGGATCTGCAAGGACGGCGGTGCGCGGGTCCCCCCCCCCCCTCTCCCCCCACCTCCCGAGGTCTCCTCGCTTAGGTCATCTACAAGGACGGCAAGGCCCGCCACCTCGGCTGCTTCCGCACCAAGCAAGAGGCAGCCCTCGCGTACTCGCGCGCACTCGCCGACAAGCGCGGGGGGCCTGCCGGCGGCGGGACATGTCCGCGACACGTCCGTGACATGTCCGAGACATGTCCGGCAGGCGGGAGGGCCGGCCGGAGGCGGACGCTGTCGAGGAGCGCGAGCTGACGGCGGAGGAGGCGGAGGCGTTCGCCGAGGACGAGGGCCTCGCGCTCTGCCGCGCCTCGACCCAGACGGGCTTCAAGGGCGTGTGGAACCGGAAGCGGCGAGGGAGTACTGAGCCGATCCGCCGAGATCCGCCGAGATCCGCCGAGATCCGTCGAGATCCGTCGAGATCACAAGGGCGGTGGGTGGGGGGGGGGGGGGCGGAAGGGGGCGGGGAGGGGCCAACGCCCCTCCAACCCCGTACGGGCCTCTCGCGCTTCAGAGCCGCGCCCGCCAGCCGTGAGTCACTCCCCCGTGGCTGCTACCTCGAGCAGGTCGAAGTCACGACCCTACGCCGCCGAGTTTCTTTTTTAGGTCGAAGTCACGACCCTACGCGGCCGAGTTTCGCACCCGCAAGCTGGGAGGCTTCGCGACGCCCGAGGCGGCCGCGCTCGCATACGCACGCGCGGCCGCCTACCACGAGGTGACCCCCCCCCCCCCCCCCCCCAAAACCTCCCAAGCCCCTCCAAAGTTCCCCCCCCCCCCCAAAAAAAAAAAAAACGGTCCCGCCCCCACGGCCCTTCCCCGCCCCCCGCTTGAAGACCAACCCGTGGGGCCCCGGGAAAGGCTGCTTTTGCGTCTTCCCGGGGCTGGACAACTTCTCGCTGTACTGAAGCCGCGCTAAAAGAAGAACCCCCCCCCCCCCCCCCGCCCCTCGCCCCTTCCCTCTCCCCGCCCCTGTTCTCCGCCGGCCGCCTCCGGGCGCGGAAGGCGGCTCTCCTTCTTGCCGCGAGCACCTGCAGCCTCCCGACCCGCCGCCGCGACCATGGGGGGTGGCAGACATGGACCCAGCGGCTCGTACAGGCCGCCGCTGCCGCCGCTGCCGCCGCTGCCGCCTCCCTTCGTGCACGTCTGTGCGCTGCCACCGGGGCGGTACTCTAGTACTCCGGCGGAGGTAGGGCGAGGGGCTCGCTGGGGCGCGTGTGCTGAGGGGCCGGTGGGTGCCGTGAGCAGTGCACTCTACCGGCACCGGCGCAAACACTAGGTGTAGGTGATGTGTGAGAAACGCCCACCCACCGTCTAGTCTGGCTGTCTCTGCCTCTGTCTGGGCGGGATGTGGGAACCGGCAACTGACCGATTTCTATCAGAAAGAAAACATGTACACGACTCGATTCACGACCCCGAAGCGCAAGGGTCGATGACGAACGACAATTCGAGCAGACAATCCTAAGTCGTCAACACTAAGGCGCCGTGCGGGAGCCCTCTCCTCACGCTGTCGGCGAGCGCGTCGGTGTCGGCCTGCCCGTGCGGGAAGCGGTGCCCGTCGGGAAACTCGAGGTACTCCGCCGACGCGTACTGCCCCGCAAGCTGGCGGCACCACTCGTAAAACGGATCGTCGCGGCCCTGCGCCACCGTCGCCGGGAAGTCGAGCGGCGCGGAGAAGAGGGGCGCAAAGGCGTTCGCGCGGACCGGCATCCCGCAGACGAGGACGTTGTGGCTCCACGACGGCGGTCGGCCGGCGGCGAGGTGCGCGGCGGTCAGCAGCGTGATGAGGATTGCGCCCTGCGAGAAGCCAAGCAGCGTGTCTGGGCGGTGCCGCTCGACTGCCTCCTCGAGCCGCGTCATCGCCTCCTCGGCGTGAGGGTAGCGGACCGTGACGCTCTCGTCCATCAGCGCCCGCAGGTAGGCAGCCGGCTCGCGCGTCCCCTCGTAGGCGTCGTGCTCGACATCGTACCAGCTGAGGAACGGGCCGTCGAAGCGCGCGGCGACCGCAGGGTCGATGTATGTCTGCTCCAGCGCGCCCTCGACAAAGACAAACTCGGCCTCCGACTTTAGCGTGCGCCTCAGCTTGGCGGTCTGCACGCGCATGATCGCCTCGTTCGTCCCGCCGCCGTGGCAGCACAGGACGCGAGGGAGTGCGGCGGCCGCCCCGAGCGAGGTTGCTGCGACGGCGGCTCTGGTGAGTCGCATGGTGCGCGAGCTCTGCTCGCTGAGCAGGATATTGCCTGCTTGTGCTCGATGGGACTCAGCCGCGGTTTGGAGACCCGCCGCCTCGCCACCGTTCCACCCCCTGGGGGGAAAGAAGAATTTTACCACTACACCCCGTTTTTGCCCATTTTCGGGCGTTCGTCAAAATATCTGAAGATCCTACCATAGGATTCTCCCCAAACCTTGCTCAGCTGATCCAGCATGGGCCGTAGGCCAGGCCTGGGCAAAGAAACCAGTACCTCATCAGGCTTCCCTCCACCTTTGCAGGATTTTGCAAAAGGTGCATAGGAGTGAATCCGAGAGAGAGAGAATTCTTGATACGAAACCACGACGACACACACCAGTCGACTCGCATCGGTTGCCTCCATGAACCTCTCTCTCTCTCTCCGAGTGAATCCGAGTGAAAGAATTGTAAAATTCTTTTTTGACGCTGGGGACGCGGGAAACGCGCCCGCCCCCTCCTCTTTCCGGTGAAGGCTGTGCATATGGACTCGCCGCAGGTCTACGAGCCACTCGAGCCAACGCTCAAATCGGGATGGCTGGAGAAGCGGCCGTCCGACGCGCTCCGCCGCTCGCTCCCGCTCTCGGGCTGGCGGCGGCGCTGGTTCGACCTCACGCCATCGCAGCTGATTTGGCGGACCGGCCCTGGGCAGGAGGGAAAGGGCTCGCTCCCGCTGGCGCAGGCGTCGGTCCACGCGCCGTGCGCCTCGCTCCGCTCGACGCTTGACGGCGAGATTGCCGTCGAGCTCCTGCTGTGGCCGTCCGGCTCCGACGGCGATCCGCTCCTCTTTAGCCTCACAGACTGCCAGGTTTGAGCAGCGTCGCACCGCCACGCCGCCGCTGCGACCCGCGTGCCGATTGGCCGCGACAGCCTCTGCCCTGCTCACGCTCGCCTGCCCCCCGACCGCCCGCCTGCCACTGAGCCGAGTCTGCTGCCCCTGCTGCCCCTCCCAGGCGTCCGTGACGCTGCCCCTGCGCGCGGCGTCGGCGGATGAGGCGCATGAGTGGGCGAGCGCGCTTGCGTGCGCCGCCCGGCTCGCAAGCGAGGAGGCGTCGCCCTACCTGCCCTTCGAGGCGGGAGGCGGGCGGGCGTCCACGCGCAGCAGCAGCCTGCACACGCCCCACTCTGCCGGCAGTCCCTGCCGGCGGCAAGGCGCGGCCGCCTTCGAGGCGGCGCTCGAGGCGGTCTTCACGAGCGACTCGCCCGACTCCTCCCGCCGACTCCGACATGTGTATGTGCAGCCGCCGGAGGCGGACGTCTCGCAAGTGGCGGATGGCGACCCCGTGCAGGAGATCGCGGCGGGTTGCGGGACAATGCAGGAGGTTGTGAGCTCGCCGGAGCAAGACGGCGCCCACCTGCTGCGCGACGGATGGGCGCTTGGCACCGGCTTCCGCCTCTCGTCACCTCTCCTCTCCCGCCAAAGGCAATGCGGCGCCACCACCGCCCCTGCCACCTCCTCCTCCCTGCCGCCGCCGCGGCCAACCGCAACGTCGCCACAGCTCTCGCTGCCAGTCTCGTCACCACAAGTGTCTTCTTCTTGCGGAAGCGCGCGGTCGCTTCCCTTGCCCCGGCGGTGGCCGTCGCTGCCTTCGTCGCTGCCTCCCTCCTCGCCGCAGCCCTCCTCGCCGCCGCCCTCGTCGCCGCCGCTTGTGCCGCTGCCCTCATCACCGCCGCCCTCTGTGCCACTGCACGCGCCGTCGCCGCCACTGTCGCTGCCTCCCTCCTCGCCGCTGCTTTGGGATGCGACGTCCGCGCTGCGTCGGAGCAGAGACCTGCCTCAAGCTCCCT